GTCATACTATTCACCTACACAAGACTTTGAAACTTGCACATAAATTATAAAGTTACATACATGTTCATGAAAACAATTGCATCAAAATTCAAATGAAATTGTAAATTATTTATATTTATATATGTATATTTGCGTTTCTTATGTATAGATATATAATTTATATATATATATATAAAATTTAATTATATATATTCGTGTTTCTTATATATATATATATATATATATATATATATATATATATATATATATATATATATATATGAGGTTTGTTAACATGGATAATGTTTTTTGTCCAGTTAGGTACATGTTAGCATTGTATACCAAAAGATTTGGACCAAAATACCTTCTATGCTTTGTTGAAAGATGTTTTAATCAAAGGGGTAATTTTATAAATTAATTTTCTCTCACCTCACGCTCCTAAACTTCAGTCCTCCTCCTCATTTCAATTATTCTTAAATTTAAAAAACCTAATTTTCTCTTCTTCATCCTCTGAAGAAATGTGCCCCTCTCTCACCATAGACCCTAATTTTCTCTCCTTCTCATTATCTCTATTAAGCACCAATGACCACCATATTATCTTGCTTAGCCACCATGGGCCACCATCTTCGCCCAGCCGTGAGAAAACTCCATCCCATTGTTTCTCCGGCTAAACATGCCAAGTTCCACTGCTATCTTGTTGCCTCCGTCATTGATTCCGGTGGTCGCCTCTTCCATTAAATACTACTAGCCAACACAGCGTGAGCCCTTTGTGCTTTGGTTCAATTTTCTCCCTATTTTTGTATGTCATCATATAAAAAACCGTTGCATCCGTATATTTCATTAATGCAAAAATATTAAAAAAATTTATTACGGAGAAAATGACACTAATCTAGTGTATGTCACTTACAATATCACTCTGGTTCTATACTGGATAATTCTATCTTCCTAACTTCAGATTTTTTTAGAAATGTAAATCTCTTATATTTTTTTTTCATTTGAGCTTTCAGGTGCTTAATCTGAATCAAGTGTTTGAAATACTAGTCAAGTTCCTGGAGATAAGGGATTGGAAAATATCTTTCTTTGCAAGTATTCCTCAAAGGAAATCCTACTAACACATTACAAAATGATCAATTTGCCCGAAAGAAGACATGTGGCGATAAAAGAATGATCTACTTTACATTATACAAAAGAATGAATAGAATAATATAAACTATATTGTTCCATTTTTATTTCCAATCGATGTTTCGATATCAATGATACTTTGGCCTATTACTATATCTAGTGTGAGACAAAAGTGTAGTTCTATGTTATTTGACAACAAAAGTGTATGAATATACAGTGTTCCCATTTACATTTTCTATAATAAAAAAAGTATTTTTTAAGCCGCACTTAAATTAGTTTTCATATCTTAGGTTTCTTTTTCTTTTCAACTTCTTCACAGCTACTTGGGTTATGCGCTGGTAGCAGTAAATATAAAGCAGTAATGGACTAAGCTAAAGGTAATGAACAGTCTACAATTAAATTATAATACAAAACAGTCTGAAATTAAATTATGATACAAAAACTGTCTGCAATTAAGCAACTAGCGCATAACTCAGAAATGTAAGTGGAGTACCAGCCTTGATGCACTTTAGGATCAGTGTTCTTACCAAACACTTTTGGAGCACGGACCAAAATAAACTCAAAATCATTGACCCACTCCAATGTTTGAATTGTTCCTCTCCAAACAATAACAATGTTTTAATTTATTGTACAAAAACATGTATCATATGCTGCATCAAGTGAAAAACTAAGCTATAGCTGCTAAACTAAGCACATAAATTTGTACCATATGCTGCAATGGACTTCACAAAGCAGAATGTGGTGAAGAATAAACCAACCAAAGAAGAGTAATGGACTTTACATTGCATTATTTAAATAAATGTTCACAAAACTAAGATATAGGTGCAAAACTAAGCACAATTAGTTTATATTTGGACCTGAATTAATTAAGTTAACTCAAACAACTATCAATTACTTATTCGGGGATTGAGAACTCAACAATGAGTCTTTTTTTCCTTTTGTTTGGACAATTTATTGAGTCATGATTCATTCTACCACAATTAGGAAAGTGGCAATGAAATGGCTTTTTTGCAACTTCAAATCCCCCTTTTAAAGTCTTTATCCTTTTGGTCGACCTTTTATCTTAGAAGTGATGAGATTCTCAACATTGCAATCATCATCATCTCTAACATCATTTTCCAAATTAACTGTTTGTTTGGAATACCCGATATATTTTTTACCAACTCAATGACTCGCTCTAATTCTTTAGTACCTACTACAACTCGATCTTTTGTCTTCAAGTTTCAACTTCTAGGCATTGCATCATAGAGCGAAAATCGATGGAGGAGTTATCATTGCAATTGGTTATGTGACTAGATTTTGGGATCAATGAACTCTCTCGTCTCCATCGAGAAGGAATATATTTTTATGGGAGGCAAAAATACAACAACACTCGAATAGCATGTCTACACAATATCCCACAAAATTTGAATTCTCTACAAGAACAATGAATTGATTCTTGACCTTTATCTTTTATTAGACTTACCAATCGGCCTCCATCAAGCTTGTTATGATGTCGCACTACGTAAGAGTCACTATTAATTTTAGTTGCTTCATATTTTGAATATAACTCAATTTCATGTTGGAGTAACTCAAAGGCATAAGGTGTGAGTATATTTGAAGCATTCTTGTCTCTTCTAATTTGAGGATTATAATACTTTTGAGGATTATGATATTCTTGCCTCGATGGGAGAACTTGTTTTAATTTGAGGATTATGATACTTTTGACGCATTCTTGCCTCTTCTCTAGCTTGATTTCTAATGTTGACAACAACTCCAACCTATAAAAAATATACTAATTATGAAAAGTTAATTGACTAAAAATAATATACTTGAAATAAGGAAACAAAGTAAGCTCATACTTGATTTACAAAGTCCACCAAGCTCGTTTTGACATTCAAAAATTTATATATATATATATATATATATATATATATATATATATATATATATATATATATGAATTTATAGATTCTGAACGTCTAGTTGTCGTCATCCCAACGAAAAATTAGTCATTCAAAAAGGCCACAGCCCAAAATTGACAATGAGAATACAATGAGATAATATGATGATCTTTCCTTAGATCAATGTTGTGAACCATCATTTGCCATTGTTGCTCAAAATCACTTCCTGGTTCTAAATTGTATAGCCTATAGAACTCGAATTTGAAGTCATCATATTTTGGGCCCAAAGAGAAAGAAAACCAAATTGGGAACTTTGATACAATATGCCATATGCAAAATGCATATTTTGTTTTCTTTAATTGCATAGTCTATCTGTGAGAATTGTTCTTGAATATTTTCTCTTAACAAAGTTCAAGAAACTCTGAAAATGAAAACAAAATAGAAGAAAAATGATTTAATCATCCAAGTTAAACTTATGTGAGAAAAATAACTTCAAATAATAAGAATTTACCTTTAAAGCCCATATGAACGAAGGTATCTTCTCATCTCGAAATAGAACACATCCAAAGAAAATTGAATTGCCATGATTATCAATCCCGACCCATAGACCAAGAGGCATATCATTACGGTTTATTCTATATGTAGTATCAAAGACAACTACATCTTCAAAAGCTTCATATGCTCGAATCACCGAATACCCAAATAATATGTTCCAATTTTTTACTTTCATTCATGGTGAAATAATATTGAAAGGCATCATCTATATCTTTTAAACTTTTGCATAATTTGAGAACGTTTGAAGCATCATTTTCATTACCAACATTACTTTGAGATTGCAAAAAATTTCTTATATCATTCTCCAAATATGGCAAACGGCCTACCTCTATTCCATTCTCCAATTCAAGCACTCTTATTGTAATACTTATTGAGCAACCATCTTTAAATAACAGTAATATACGACTTTGATCATTGCTAGGTATGTCACGATAAGCAGGAAGAAACTAAACCTCTTTATCAACCAACAATGCATGGTTATGAGAACTACTGAAATATGTAACTACCCAATGTTCTTCGAAGTTAATTGGTATTTTAGTAATAAACAATTTTGCATTACAATTGCATTTTGAACTTTTTTGTTTCCTTTGTATTTCTACTTCATTAACTTTGTGTTGGTTGACAATATTAGCTCGATGACAAATGAACTCTCTTCCATAAATATACTCAGTGTTATTTTCATTATGTTTGTAAGTGTAACCTCTTCTATAAGGACCCAAATTCTACCCTTGAAAAATTTTCATTTATTTTCATCCTCTCTTACATACATCTATAACTTTACTTAAAAACCTTCATGAAACACTCTTCTAAAACACTCTTTACCCTATTATATTATCATACAAATTTATGTTGTGGAAAAACATAATTCATTCAATTAGCAATTATCGCATACAACCAGTTATGGATTTTTCCAGAGTTATAATGTCCATAACTACATATCTCCGTATTCCTCTAATCAATTTTACAGTCATCCCATAGTGTTATCAAATTAACTACAACGTCAAGTAGCAATAAAGACAATCAAGTTAATAAACACAAAAGCTTCCTATGTGAGCTTCCTTCTCAAAATCCTTCATTTACCTACAATGGGATTATCATAAACAACACACAAAACAAAAGGGAGTAAGTCATTAGTTCAAAAATTAACATCACATGATAATCCACATTTCAAATACGATTAATCTTTAATATAATTCGTAAACACACATGCGTAATTATAAATGTAACGACCCGATTTTTTTCCCTTGAAAATTTTTCGTTTATTTTAATCATTTCTTACATACAGTCGTCACCTTCATTGAAAACTCTCAAGTATCATTTTCGAAAATACTCTTTACCCTATTTTCTTATCATACAAATTTATGTTGCGGAAAAACATAATTCATTCAAATAGCATTTACCACATACAACCAGTTATGGGTCTCCCAAGGTTATAAAGCCCATAACTACACATATCCGTATTGATCTAAACGGATTTACAGTCATCCCATAATACTATTAAATCAACTACAACGTCACTTAGCAATACAGACAAGCGAGTAATTAAACACAAAAGCTTCCTAATTGAGCTTCATCCTCAAAGTCCTTCATTTACCTACAATGGGATTATCATAAACGACACACAAAACAAAAGGGAGTAAGTCATTAGTTTAAAAACTATCATCACATGATAATCCACATTTCAAATACGATTAAACTTTAATATAAATTATAAACGCAATTACGTAAATGCAAACATTCATCTCTTCTTTCGTTTATTTCTACGTTATCCATATTCATCCTATAGAATACATATCCCATAATATATATTCTATAGCATGCATATTATGTTCATTCGAAGCATCGTTCTTCTCATTATTCATATCCACACTATAGTATATATATATCCCATACTATATATCTTATAGCATGTATATTACTTTTATCCTTAACGTCTTCATTTCCAACATTCATATTCACCCTATAGTATATATATCCCATAATATATATCCTATAGCATGCATATGACTTTCGCTCTTAACGTCCTTGTTTCTCATATGTCGTATTCATCATTAATCGTATTCACCGAATTCTTTCACACTATAATCTCCTACCACCTCGGGTAGATCCAATTACATCTCCATACCACATCGGGTAGGTCTAGTTCACCATCCATACCACATCGGGCAGGTCTAGTTCATCATCCATACCACATCGGGCAGGTCTAGTTCATCATCCATACCACATCGGGCAGGTCTAGTTCATCATCCATACCACATCGGGCAGGTCTACTATTATATTCCATACCACATCGGGTAGGTCTAGTTATACTCCATACCACATCGGGCAGGTCTAGTTATACTCCATACCACATCGGGCAGGTCTAGTTATACTCCATACCACATCGGGTAGGTCTAGTATTATATTCCATACCACATCGGGTAGGTCTAGTGTTATGCTCCATACCACATCGGGTAGGTCTAGTGTTATACTCCATACCACATCGGGTAGGTCTAGTTATACTCCATACCACATCGGGTAGGTCTAGTATTATATTCCATACCACATCGGGTAGGTCTAGTGTTATGCTCCATACCACATCGGGTAGGTCTAGTGTTATACTCCATACAACATCGGGTAGGTCTAGTTATAATCCATACCACATCGGGTAGGTCTAGTATTATATTCCATACCACATCGGGTAGGTCTAGTGTTATGCTCCATACCACATCGGGTAGGTCTAGTGTTATGCTCCATACCACATCGGGTAGGTCTAGTGTTATACTCCATACCACATCGGGTAGGTCTAGTTATAATCCATACCACATCGGGTAGGTCTAGTTCACAATTCTTCACTACCATTCCCAGTAGGATAACAATAACAGTCCACTACCACTCCGGGTAGGACACAACAACAGTCCGCTACCACTCCGGGTAGGACACGATAACAGTCCGCTACCATTTAAGGTAGGACACAATAACAGTCTACTACCACTTCGGGTAGGACACAACAAACAGTTCACTACCACTCCGGGTAGGACACAATAACAGTCAACCACTACCTCTTCGAGTAGGGTAACAACAATAAACCACTCCCTATTTGGGTAGGGTAACAACAATCAAACTTACAACACATTACCTCTTTCACATACCTCGTTCACATCAGTGAGTATGAAATAGAGCCACTTATCCATTACCTCGGTGAGCGTTGGAGATCAGTTCCGAGTAACTTTAAAAGTCTACTCCGCGATTTCCTCCAACCTTAGGATCTTTCCTCATTTCCACAATAACAACAATGTTAGTCATTTATTCCAAATATCACATAAACAACTTATTTTGCATCATTTAATCATACAAAATATTCATCATCAATATTCAACCATCTAAAACATGCATAACATCTCATATTTCAATATTTCCAAAACTACTTCAATACAAGTTTCTAAATATCAAAGCATACATGTTCATCTCATATAACAATATTAAAGCACTACTCATTATCCACATCTAACATTTCATCTCTTTCTCTTTATACTCATATTCTCATTTTGGGGGTTTTTGGGGTGTTTTTCATGAATAACCCATAAAACTTTCCATTCATCAAATACCAACTCTAAACCAATAGTTTACAAGATAAAAACAACATAAAACGAACCATAACTCTAAAGGATGAGTTTCCATGGTTTCTCATGTTTTGAAAATAAATCCAACATACCCAAAACAAGTTAGAGAGGAAGAAGAAGAGTTAGTAACAAGAGGTTTACCTCTTCTCAAGCTCCAAGATGAGTCCTAAGGCTCCTTGCTCTTGAAAAGCTCTCCTCTCTCTCTTCTCTTCGAAGTTCTAACCCTAAAATGTGTTTGGGTTTCTGTTTTAAAGAGGTGTCGTCGGGTTGTAATCGATTACCAACATGGTGTAATCGATTACAACGTGAAAAATGCGCATATCTGATGCTTTTAATACGATGTAATCGATTACCAGAAATGTGTAATCGATTACCAACAATGTGTAATCGATTACCAGAAATGTGTAATCGATTACCAGCAATGTGTAATCGATTACCAGCAATGTGTAATCGATTACCAGCAATGTGTAATCGATTACCAGCAATGTGTAATCGATTACCAGAAATGTGTAATCGATTACACTGTGTCAGATGCACATATCTGATGCTTTTAATACGATGTAATCGATTACCAGCAGATGTAATCGATTACTAGCAGAGTGTAATCGATTACCAGCAGAGTGTAATCGATTACACTGTGTCAACAGCCCAAAATTGCCATTTCTCGCCCAGGGAAGAATCCTCCAGTATAGTCCCCCTCCCAGCTGATCCTTTTTCGCTCAGGCGAGAATCTCTCGATCAAGCGAGGCTTCCAGGACTGATACTATATTTTTAAAGATTAAAATTTGGGGTGTTACAATAAACATTCATATCATCTTCCTTTAATTTCCACTTTACTCATATTCATCCTATAGTATATATATCCCATAATATATATTCTATAGTATGCATATTATATTCGTTCGAAACATCATCATTCTCATTATTCAAATCCACCCTATAGTATATATATCCCATAATATATATCCTATAGCATGTATATTACTTTCATTCTCAACATCTTCCTTTTTATCGCTCATATTCACCCTATAGAATATATATCCCATATTATATATCTAATAGCATGCATATGACTCTCTTTGTGACATTCCCATTTCTCATCATTCATATTCACCCTATAGAATATATATCCCATAATATATATCCTATAGCATGCATACGACATTCATTGTGACATCCATATTTCTCATCATTCATATTCACCCTATAGAATATATATCCCATAATATATATCCTATAGCATGCATACGACATTCATTGTGACATCCACATTTCTCATCAATCATATTCACACTTGATCGTATTCATCGATTTCATTTTCCATACCACACCGGGCAGGCCGAGTTATTACCCCATACTACATCGGGCAGGTCGAGTTATTACCCCATACCACATCGGGCAGGCCGAGATATTACCCCATACCACATCGGGCAGGTCGAGTTATTACCCCATACCACATCGGGAAGGTCGAGTTATTACCCCATACCGGATCGGGCAGGTCGAGTTATTACCCCATACCACATCGGGCAGGTCGAGTTATTACCCCATACCATATCGGGCAGGTCGAGTTATTACCCCATACCAAATCGGGCAGGTCGAGTTCACAATAATTCACTACCATTCCCGGTAGGATAACAATAACAGTCCACTACCACTCTGGGTAGGACACAATAACAGTCCACTACCACTCCGGGTAGGACACAATAACATTCTACTACCACTCCGTGTAGGACACAATAACAGTTCACTACCACTCCAGGTAGGACACAATAACAGTCCACTACCACTCCGGGTAGGATATCCATAATAAACCACTACCTTTTCGGGTAGGGTATCCACAACAAACCACTACCTCTTCGGGTAGGGTATCCACAATAAACCACTACCTCTTCGAGTAGGGTATCAACAACATTCTTACAAACACATTACCTCTTCCACATACCTCATTCACTTCAGAGAGTATGATTTAGAGACACTTATCCCTTACCTTGGTAAGCGTTGGGGATCAGTTCCGAGTAACTTTAAAAGTCTCCTTCGCGATTTCCTCCAACCTTAGGATCTTTCTTCATTTCCACCAATAACAACAATGTCAGTCATTTATTCCAAAATAACACATAAACAACTCATATTTCATCATCAGACATACAAGGGATTCATATATTTTCAATATTTCCAAAACTACTCCAATACAAGTTTCCAAATATCAAAACATACCTGTTTATCTAATATATCAACATCAAAGTACAAACTCATCATCCACATTTAACATTTTATCCATTTCTCTTTTTACTCATATTCTCATTTTGGGGGTTTTTGGGGTTTTCATGAATAACCCACATAACCTTTTCATTCATCAAATACCAACTCTAAACCAAGAGTTTACAAGAGAGAAACACATTAAACGAACCATAACTCAAAAGAATGAGTTTCCATGGTTTCTCATGTTTTGAAAATAGATCCAACATACCCAAAACAAGTTAGAGAGGAAGAAGAAGAGTTAGGAACAAGAGGTTTACCTCTTCTCAAGCTCTAAGATGAGTCCTAAGGCTCTTTGCTCTTGAAAAGCTCTCCTCTCTCTCTTCTCTTCAAAGTTCTAACACTAAAATGTGTTTGGGGTTTCTATTTTAAAGAGCAGTCGTCGGGTTCTCGCTCAAGGGATCCCATTCTCGCTCAAGCGAGAAAATCCCGCCTTTTTAAAATTTCACATCTGACGCTCTCGCTCAAGCGAGAATCTCACAGTGTCAACAGCCCCAAATTGCCAGTTCTCGCCCAGGCAAGACAACTCTCGCTCAGGCGAGAATTCTCCAGTATAGCCCATGATTTCACCCTCCCAGATGATCCTTTCTTGCTCAGGCGAGAATCTCTCGCTCAAGCGAGACTTCCAGGACTGATACTATAATTTTAAAGACTCAAATTTAGGGTGTTACAATCCTCCCACTCTTATAAGAATTTTCTTCCCCGAAAATTAAACATACCTCGGATAATAATATCATCACCTAGACCTTAGGCACCAGAATACTCAACCAAAATCATAATCGATCCTCTAATCCATTCAGATTACTTAAACGGTCCCTAATGGCATACACCACTAAACCGTGATATCACCAAACCAATTCATGAACTAACTCATCAATGTCCAAATATTAAGATCTCAACCTTTAATAACTCGAATGCCATGAGAACTAAACCGTAATTCAGACTAAAGATTTTCCTATATTCGTCAAGAACCGTAGGTCTCTAGGACTGATCCAGCTAACAATCCTCATCTATGTTAAGAATTTCTATAACACTCCCGAAATTCAGCGAATGGGGAACTCCTTATCCCTCATCCACTCCAATACCTCATTTAACATCCATCAAACACTAGCTAGTTTCATCTCCACTCAAGAATCTAGCGCAATTTCATTTCACTCAATCGACAAAATACTTACACAAAAAGACTCTTAGTGTCTCATCCATTGTACACAATCAAACTATCCAGTAATTGTCCAATTACATCAAAAATATTTCCGTCATCAAATCTTATCGTTGAAAGGAATTTCCGATTCCTAGCCTCAACTGAAACCATAAAACCATTGATTCACACCAAAACTAGGTACCCTGTTACCGATCGGAAAGTGCAAGTTGACAAACACTCAAACCTACAACTGGCGTTCGTTTTGGTCACCCCAATTCCGTTAGCAAATATAAACTTATTAACCCACTCGCATTATGTCCAGAAATACATGGGCGTCTTGTATCATCAAATTTTTAACGACCTCATACTTAATCAGATATGATTGCTAAAATTTCGGAATTCTCCAACATGATACTAAATCATTATTTAGCCACAAGCTATGTTTCACCCAAAAAAATGATTTTTGAAAGCGTTTTGAATCCACGACTCATGGCAACCACACGTGGAAACAAGGTTCGCATACTCATTTCAACATACCCCAAAACTCCTTCTCTCATATGGTTACACCACGCCCATACACCACAATTACTGACGTTCACGAAACAGCAACAACTTTTATCGGTACAACATTCAACGCACACAATTGAGGTACGCCACCACTATTTCATGCATTGCCAATGTCCCACCGCAAAAGAACCGATCATTCGTGGCCAAAAGTTTCACGTCTAATAAAATGTATTCATCACATCGACGGGGTAAGTAACTCGACTAGCCTCTTTCCTTGACTATCAGCATAAGTCTTACCCCTTTAGCATACACACACATATCAATGCATACCAAATTTTAAATCATCACCTCAATAATTACACACAGTTAAACATAACACGATTTGCTGACCGCTAGTCCATTTCCAGGATTAATTTCCAGCTGGGACATCATTGCGCACATCAACACTATGGTAAAGGTTCTACCATTTACCCCAACCGTACACTGAGACATCCACATCGACACCCACCACCGGTACAATGGGTGGGTGGGGACAACTAAGTCGAAAACAACAACTTGGTGTACAATCTCAGTTGGTTCACACATTCAGCAAATATAGGGAGTGTGTCGCTCCCGAATTAGACAACACTAAAAGGGATACTTGTCACCATGCGATTTACCTCTCGACGGATCATCAACACCTGATGTCCCTGCGCCCCTCGGGGTAACCCTTCGACCGTGGTTCTTTGTCTCCTCGACATGAATGACATTCAGTCTCCGATCCAGCTTGGGACAAAACCTTTAAATATGCTCAAGCTCCTTGCAGTGGAAACATCCAT